AAGAGAGTATAATTAAGAGATATAATTGAGGGTAATTGTGGGTAGGCTGAGCAATGTTCTAAGTTGAGCGGCTCAACCTTATGTCCCTTTGAAGACTAAGTTCAGAGTTATATATATAATCTGGCTATTTAAACAGTTCAGGGCGACTAGAGTGGTCTAGTCAGACGCCCAAAGAAGCGAGAAGTAGTTGTGCCCTCTGTTTGTGTATATCCGGCCAAGTCAGAACGCTCTATAAGTTTAGGTATTCTGACCTTGGGCCTGGCTAAGTTGGGTGCGCTCTGTAAGTTATGATGCCCTGGCTTATGCCTTATGTAAGCTTGGGTATGAAAGGGATAACTCACAGAGGAAGCATGGACTATTGTTTGCTGAAGGAGCTTGGGGTTGGTGAGAGTACTTACCTTTGTGGTTTGACCTGCATGTCGCTGAGTGAGATTACAACTTGGTCTGGGCCTCAGGGTAGTTGCTTTAGAGACTCGCCACGGGCTAGAGCCATAAGAGCTAGGTCAATTCCTGCTTTTTCCGAGCTGACTTTTTTTACTTAGATCAATTCTCGCATTTTCTAGGATCTTTTGTTATACCTGGCTTCGTATAAATCTTGGCAAGTCACTTTCTCTACGGGAAGCGCTGCCGAAATTTCTACAAATCCAAGGAGTTCATCAATTTTTGACTTGTCAATATTCAACTTGTCTAATCTTTATATCTGGCTTAGTAAAAATTGTGAAAGTCTCATTTTCTAAAGGGAATGCTGCCCAAATTTTTGCTAATTCAAGGATTTTGACAAAATTGGACTTTGAGGAGTCAAAGTTATTTCCAGATTTTGAACTTAGCCTTGTGTAAATTTTGGAATAACAGTTTTCCAAAGGGAGTGCTGCCAAAATTACTGCAAAACCAAGGAATTAACTAAATCTTGTCTATGTTGAACCCAAATTGTCTCTGAGTTCATATCTGACTTAGTACAACTTTAGGGAGTCTGCCTTTCTAAAGGGAGTGTCGTCCAAATTTCTACTAATTCAGGGAGTTAGACAAGGTTATTTGTGTTTCCATATTTGAGCTGATATAAACTTTGGAAAGGCACTTTTCCTACGGGAAGCACTGCCGAAATTTTCTTGATTTAGAGGAGTTAGATTATATTTTGACAGGTGGCGATTTTGGCAATCCACCCAGAATAGGGGGGATTATGTCGGGGTCTACCTTTGCTTTGGGCACGACTTACAGGTAGTTTCAGGCTTAGTTATTTAAGGCGATTTGAGTGGGATCGTGATATGGGGGTTATTCTCCATTGACTTATAGGTTCAGCCTGGGGATTGACCTGTCTTGTGTTACAGACCATCTTGATCGATTTGATTCAGGATTTGGACTAGGTCCGGATTGATCCTACGAGGATTGTCTTCTGTTATCACTGATAACAGGTCCGTTGCCGATTCGTCGGTCTTCGACTCAATTTCAACTCATTCCCCATACTCAACCTAAAAGGCTTTAGCCCTGGTGGTTTTACTGTTTGTTAAGGGTTTTACCCGGACTTTATTGAATGGTCATTTGACAAAGGTACTGAGTATTTAATTAAGGTTGGTTGGATCGGCGATTGGGGCTTGCATGGCTAAAGCGAAGGGGTCTGAGCATAGAGAATGGTTGGGGTTGACTCCATGTAGTGAGTGTTTTGTCGCTTGATTCTTGGTGTGGTTGCAGGTATGTCATGTGACTCAGATTTTGGATTTAGACTGCCTGCGATTCCATATACACATACATGGTTGTGAGGAGTCTCACTGTGCCTGTGAGAAGTGGTCGTCATAACTCTATCCCCCTTCCGCATGTATGCGTGGATATACGAATGATGGGTGTTCGGGAGGCCTAAGAAGTCATGTTAACAACCACGTGAGAGTTGGGATTGAGAGACAGGGAAAACCCTCCCCTCTGCCTATTTGCGTCTTGGGGCTTTCTTGGTCGGACGTTGGTCCTGGGACGGGATTCAAGGTCCTTGTCCAGGACATCCCAAGCCCCAGGCCCTGAAGGGGAGGAGTCTCCTCTTGCATAGGGCCTGCTTACTTTGGCCGACGGGACACTCCGCCTGAAGGGCGGAAATGTCGCGAGGNCTTGCATAGGGCCTGCTTACTTTGGCCGACGGGACACTCCGCCTGAAGGGCGGAAATGTCGCGAGGGCCGAACGGCGTGTCCTTCAGCCGTTCAATATCGTGAGGGGTAACCCCTCGCGACGAGTTCCCTCAGCCATTCAATATCGCAAGGCCTGAGCCCCGGTTACCACGTATGATTAGCATCGGTGGTTACCATAGGATTAGTCTGCGGCCGCACAGTTTTATATCAAGGCCCTGCGCGCGATGTCTCATCGCCCCAGCATCTAAAAGTTATGGGATCGTCGGGCTCACGCGTAGGCGCGGCGCTTGGGATTATTGTAGGCCACCGGCACCGCCCATAGAGGGGAAGTGTGTCCCAAGGCCATGAGTTTTTTTGTTTTAAAAGCCAGGGGACCTTTGCCCTATCCCCCCTTCTTGGATTCGTGCGAGTCCTGTTGCTTCTTAGAGATTTGTATGGTTGGACGTTGTAGTCTGTGGCAGCCGTCAAAGTCAAACCCCTTGACTTTCGCCCAGGCCCCGGGGAGGACTCACCCCTAGGGCCGCGAGAGACGACTACCACCACAGGCATGGGCCTGTGTACCACCCGCTCTGCATAAGGGGTGCAGAAGAGGGTGTGTGGTCTCCAACCGCGCATGGCAGTTGTTCAGCGTCGAGAGATTAACCCTCTAGGCGTGTGTCAGCCGACACTTGAGTGTCGAACGCGACCCTCGAGATTAACGAGGACCGCATGAGCATGGGTACTACATGGTACGCCATCAATGCGACTGCTGGCGTATGCTTGCATATGCTTGCATTGCGAGTCGGTATGAGTTAGTCTTGCGTCCGCGTGATTTTATATTAAGCCTCACGCGCTACGCCCATTCGATTTCCGTATTGGGAAAGTTATGGGACGACTACCGAGGGGCTAGGAGCATTGTCGCGATGTTCGCGTGGTGCCCACGTTGTTCGTGTTGTAGCGCGTTGTATGTGCGTGTGCGTGTGTGTTCTTTTTGCAAGTTCATAGAGTGATGTGCGCATGGCGTGTGGGATGCGTCCTAGTCGACCGACGACGACCCGCGCTTGGGACTTCAACCCCCCAAGATGGCGGTTCGCGTGCGGGTCCGATAGGCGTATTACCGCGCGTACCCCCTATGCTACAACGAACGAGAAACGCCCTCGGTTGGCCCACCTCTGCGATTGCAACTGATTAACTTTCGTACTGTGGACTGGTAGCTCGGCGGGGATACGCCCAGCGATGGGAGGTGACAGCTCCCATAAGGTGGAGGTAAGTTGTGCCTCGCATAGGCCCTACCCTGTCGTAGGGGTTGGCGAGAGGTATGGCTGGCGCACTCGGCCGGAGCGGCCTAAGGAAGCTCCATTCGCGTGTTATGTCGAGGTTGATCCAACTCCTGCGTGACGCGGTCGAGAGGGTCCCGCGCCGCCGCGTGCGGTGTCGGGCCGATGCGCTCGACAGGTGGCACCGTTGCCGGGGAGAACGGAAGCTTACCGTTGTCCCTGGTGGAACGACATCCGGGTGCGAGAGTGAGGGAAAACTAGGCATACGAGTGAGTAAGAGAGGGACTATGAGACGGACTGTATGGTGATCTATATGACTATGGGCCGGATGATTGATTAATTGGCGGTTTGGTTGACAGTTTGAATGAAGTAAGTGTGTGAGGAAGTCCTATGGTGAGGGTAAGCGTTATCTAGGTAAGCCCAAGGGGATGGGAGAAGGAATGCCTGCCAGATATAGAGTGTGGGGTGTCTAAGGTGGTCAACCCGATAAGATCATGAAAGGTTGAGTCGCTGAGTGGGGTTCTCTGTCCCATCGTCTTTTATAACAGGGAGATTGAAGCTAAAGGCGGTTGGCCAAAATGCCAGAGGAGATGACGGATGGTGGGAGGAAGCTTGTGACTCTTGATGACCTCATCGACGCCCTGGACAAGCGTGAGAGGGCGTCGAGCAACGTCCCAAAGGTCGAAACATTCCACTTCAAGGGGGACCGGGTATCTGATTGGTTGGATCTGACGGAGCAGGCGCTGGTGGGACTATCAGATGAGGTCAAGCTCCAGCGGGTCCTGAGGTATGTCCTGCACAGTCACCATCGGGAAGTAACTAAGGTTGAGGACGCTGCGAGTGGCAGTTGGGCAAGGTTTGGAGACCTAATGCGAAGGAAGTATAGGCTGGGGGACGACCTGCTGACCATGGCCAACTTGGAGGCCATGAACAAAGAAGACTTATCTACCATTGGGGCATTTGTGCACGAGTTCAAGAAAAGGGCGAGGAAAGTGCACGGGATTTCTGAGGAGGCGCAGTGCGCCACATTTTTGGGGCTGCTTACAGGCTCGGAGGCCACATAGTTGACAAAGTATGGGGAAGGAAGCGAGAGGCTCACCTGGGCAACCATTGACAAGGGAGTAGAAGAAGGGAGCCTGGACCAGGTGGAGCAGCACCAAATGAGGCTGCAAAGGCACAAGAGGAAGGAGAGGGATGCTACCGCATCCAGGACCCTAGGGGTGAAGAGAATAGTTACGGACGTGCTGGCGACACTGGGGTATGATAATGCAGCGGAGATACAGAAAAGAGGGGTGTTAGTGGCCCAAGGCCGGGCGTCAGGGGCAGTGGATGAGGAGGCTGGGCAAGAAGACTACGGAGGAGGGGAGACAGGTTCCCAAGCCCTGACTAAGGCCCAGAGAAAGCAGCGCAATCTGCTGCAAGGAGGGCAGGGGTCAGGGAAGGGACAGGCTCCCCAAGCCATTGCCGCACCACCGCCTGTCACCGAGGCCGCGCCAGCGTCGGCAGGACCAACGCATATGGGGCCGCCACTAACCTGCGGGCATTGGGTGCCGCATTGTCAGTCCTCGCCCTGGCCCAGTTGCAACCACTGTGTCTCGTGTGGAGGGAGTCAGGCCCACGCGGGACACATGGTCCCCTATTCAGACCCATCCGCAAGTATGGGCCCCCCGAGCTACCCGGCGACTCAAAGCCAGCCCATGGCTCAACCGCCGCCCTCCCAGCAGGCCTCGCAAGCCAGTGTGGCCGGGGGAGGAGGCCTAGGACAAGGCGGGCAGGGCAATGGGGGCCGGGGCCAAGGAGGTAGAGGAGAGGGCGGTCGGGGGCGAGGAGAAAATGGTGGAGGCCGTGGAGGAGGCTGGAATGGTCAAGGGGGTCAGAACCAAGGTGGCCAAGGCAGCCAGGGAGGGGGCTAAGGGTACGGGAGACCCCGCTTCGACTGGCGGAACGCAACTTGCTGGCATTGTGGCGAGGTGGGTCACACCGTACGATTCTGCCAACAGCGGCGGGACAACGAAAAGGCAGGATTAATCTCCACCTGTATGGACGGGGATATATACAATTGGTGGGGAATGCACATTGACCCCAAGTCCCCGGGAGGAATCAGGCAGGAGGCCCTCAGGCGGGCAGCGGCCGGGCCTCCAGCAGCCCCAACAATGTTTAGGATATGGCAGGAAAGGCAAGACCCCGGCATAAGAGTCGACGAGATTGTGGGTGAAAATGAGGAAGTAACTCAATGGTTGAAGGCAGGGACTATAAAGGAGGAGCCCATAGTCGTCGAGTCTGACGATGAGGCGCAGGAAGTGGTGAGAGAGTCAGCCTCGACCATCCTGGAGAGGATGGAGGACCTGCTTGCAAAGGTCGGCAGTTATCAGGAACGAGTAAGGGCAATGTGTGAAAAGGCCCGCGAATGGGAACTAAGCCTTCCGGAGGTGATGTTCTATGGGTCCGGTCCGGAGTCGTCGTCAGGACCACAAGGGTGTCCGAGTGTAGCTACAGCTGGGACAGGTCCTAGGTGAGGAATGACCTTCAGGCCCCCTACATCGCATGGAAGGGTACCACAGGCCGCGCAAACTAGGGGCCAAAGCAAGGCTACCGCCAGTCAGGGGCCTAGCTTGGCACCTAGTCGGGCGCCTCCTCGAAAGGAGCCTGCGCCTAAACGAAGGAAAGAAGTGGTGGAGGTTGAAGAAGAGGAAGATGAGGGTGATGACGAAGAGGACGAGAAGCTCCGGCAAGAGGAGGACCAAAGGGTGGAGCAGAGGGCCAAGAAGAGAGGGGCTCAGGGAGGGGCAGAGTCGAGCCTGCATGATGGCGTGCCAAAGAGGAAAAAGTACGCAGTCCGACTGGAGGAAGGCTTTGACGTGGAGCGAATGGTGGACAAACTCCTAGAAGGCCATAACGATTTGATGAATCTGAAGGACATTTTGGCCTCGGCACCAAGGCTCCGTGGTGAGCTGAAAGGGCGGCTCTCACGGAGATTAGTGCCCAATGTCCACTTGAGCTCAATTCTGCCTAGGGAGATAGAGTGGACAGAGTCAGGCACCAGGATGGATTGGAAATGTGTGGCATGTGGGTTGGTGAAATTAAAGGTGAGGGACCAGCCGAGCATCGCAATGGTGGATACGGGCGCGGAGATGAACATCATCCGGGAGTGGGACGCGACCATGTTGGGGTTGGAGGTCGACCATTCGGACCATGGCATGTTGCATGGCGTCAACTGTAAGGCCATTTTTTGCGGCACCGCGTCTAATGTGATGGTGGAGATTGGGAGAGTAAGGGCGCGAACGTGCTTCTTCGTCATGCCCGACGTCGACCACCCTATTCTTCTGGGGAGGTCGTTCCTCTGCCGAACGGAGACCTTGGTCTTCAACAGGCATGAGGGGACGATGATCCTAGCTCTATCTGATCCGGCTTGTGGAAACTATGAAATCATCAAGTGTCGGAACACGGGGCCCGGAAGTGGAAGGAACAGGCTCAACCTCGACTCCTTTACCTTCGAGGAATTTGAGTATGTGCGACGGAGACTCCGGGAGGAACAGGAGGAGGAAGGAGCAGGCGAGGTGCTGTCCTTGAGCCTTAATGATGTAAATAAGGCAATGGAGGTGGTGGCGGCGCATGATATGGCGGACCTTGAGGCCATAAAGGCGTTGAGAGAACAGGTCCTAGAAAGCCCTCAGGTGGGAGAGGTGGAGTTGATATATCGGCTCCCAGGAAGGAGGGGAGACCCTGCGATGGCCCAGGCCCGAACGACAAGTCGGTCTTTTTTAGGGGAGGGCTTAAGCATGGTTCCCAAAGGCGGTACAAGACCATAGACAAGAAGTGCTTCCCGGTCCCCGTGCTTGTCACGGAGGACGAGGAAGCCTATTATGAGCGGGAGCGAGGGCTGATAAGGCGTATGCGGGAGCCCGCACAGGCAGGACCATGCCGCATCAATAACGAGAACGAGGAGGGGCTGATAATCGGCGAGCTTGGCTTCCTTTCACCCCAGGAAAGGACCTTGATGGTGGAAACAATGAAGAGGAGGCATTGTGCGTATGCGTTTAACGATGACGAGCGTGGGAGGTTGGACGTGGATAAAATCCCAATGATATGAATCCATACCATCCCATATGAGTCGTGTAACCTGAGGGGCGCGCGATACCCGAATCCGAATGAGGAGAAGAAGGTGGTGGATTACTTGGACGGGAAGATGAGGACGTATGTGGCAGATTATTCCAGCGGACCGTATGCTTCCCCTTGGTTTTGTTTTATCAAGCCAAACGGAACGCTACGATGGGTGCAGGATTTGCAACGCTTGAATGCAGTAACGGTGCGGGACACGGGAGGATTGCCGAACGCAAACACCCTGTCAGAGTCATGCGCAGGAAGGCCTATAATCTCACTTATAGACCTTTACTCTGGGTATGACCAGTTTCCCGTGTACCCACCGGATAGGCCGGTGACGGCGATGCATACGCCGAGGCTGATCCACATGAACGTGGCACCTCAGGGGTGGACCAATGCGGTGGCGATGGTGCAAAGGCACATGATTAGGGCCATGCAGACGGTTAGTCCGCATATTACTCAGCCCTATATTGACAATTTGGCGGTCAAGGGCCCAAAAGAGAAGGAGGAAGATGAAGTGATGCCAGGGGTGAGGCGGTTCGTCTGGAAGCACGTCCAAGATCTCGATCAAGTTCTGGGTCTGTTGGAAGAGCACAACCTGACGGCAAGCGGTCCCAAGTCGAAGCATTGCATGGGGAGGCCACGATTCTAGGCTTTATTTGCAACGAGGAGGGGCGGAGGCCAGATGTGAAGAAGACGGACAAGATCCTAGAGTGGTCAGTCCCCTTCCAATCGATAACGGACGTGAGGAGCTTCCTTGGGACCTGCGGGTTTTGGAGGAGTTTTGTGAAGGACTTCGCCACCAAGACGGAGCATTTGAGGAAGCTAGTACGTCAGGACCAGGAGTGGGTCTGGGGCGAAGACCAAGAAAACGTTGTGGGAAGGATGAATAGAGAATTCAAGGAAGGAGGCTTGGTGTTGGGAGCGCCGAATTACGAGGCCACGGAGGAGAAGCCATTCGTTGTCGAGACGGACGTTGGGCCAACTGCCTTAGGAGGGGTCCTGATTCAGGCAGATGCGGATGGGAAGGAGTGGCCGTTAAGGTTTGAAAGTCGTACCCTCAATACGACTGAGAGGAATTACTCTCAGTTTAAGAAGGAGACATTGGCGATACTCCATTGCCTAAGGACCTTCCGGAACTACATTTTTGGCAAAAGACTCGTTTTGAGGGTGGACCCCACCGCGCTGCCATGTTCCTTGAAAAGTTATACTCCATCTGATCCAACCATCGCGAGGTGGTTGACTTACATTTGGATGTTTAACTTTGAGTTGGAGAGGATTCCCGGGGACAAGAACAGGGCAGATGGGCTGAGCCGTATCAACTGGGATGGGGCGGGTCAAGAGTCAATTGAAGATACCCCACCAGTTGACGGGTTCTTGGATCAGGAGGAGGATGTCCGCCTCCACATAAATGAGTGGTCGCTAAGGGTGCCTAGCTGCGTCACRCATCCTATATGGCTAGCACCAAGGGGGTACGAGCAGAAGGAGGAGTTGGTCCTCAAGCCCTTCCAGGAAGAAGATCCGTGGGGGAGTAGGGATGTTGGCTGGATGATGCGGTTGGCATTGGCAAGGACGCATAGTCTAGCGGAGGAGGTAAGGACGAAGGGGGAAGGCCCGACCCAAGTAGAGGAGCATGAGCAACTAATGGGAGGGATGTACTTGCTCACCAACACGCTCCTGCAAGGGAACTTTGACTAGAGGAGCGCAGTCAGCTCCGAAGAGGGCGAAGTTCGCATTCCTGAAAGTCAGGACGACGAGTTCGAAGAGGGAGAGATTAGGGAGGCCTTCCGTGCGGAGGAGTATGATGGAATTTATCGGGAATTGGGGTTACTCCTGTCGTGCGAAATAAGGGATAGGGAGGCAATTGCCAAAGCCCAGAAGATGAGGCATCTCTACGTAGTGAGAGATGGCCATCTGTTCATAAAGCGACAGGTTGGAAACCCCAAGAGGGTCGTATGTGGAAGGAACCGGCAGATCGATGTCATAGCAGCCTTGCACGATGGTATAGCAGGGGGGCACAAAGGGGTTAGTGCCACGTGCGCGAAGATAAGTGAGTTATACCATTGGGATGGAATGCTGACTATGGTCATCAAGTACTGCCAGTCCTGTGTACCCTGCCAACAGAGGTCAGCGCAAAGGCCTGGGGAGCCTCAACACCCCAGGTTGGAAAGGGAAGTGGGTGCAGTCGTACACCTGGACCTGTTGTTCATGCCACTTGGGAAGGACGAAAGTAACTATATCTTCGACGCACGCGACAACCTTACCAGGTTCATGGACGGTCGGGCTATCCATACGAAAACTGGCCCAGTTTTAGCAAGGTGCATCGAAGAGTATTATTTGCGCTATTCATTTGTCAGAGAGTTTGTGATGGATCGGGGGTCGGAGTTTACTTGTAACGAGGTGCGGACCTTGCTTGCGGGATATGGCGTGGTAGCAAACTACACTACTGTCGTGCACCCCCAGGCAAACGCACTTGTAGAGAGGGGGCATAGTACCATCATGAATCTCCTGGCCAAATGGACTGAAGAGAAGCCTAACCAGTGGCCGAAATTCCTGAGAGTAGCATTCTTCGTGGAAAATGTTACAGTGAAAAGGACTACCAAGTATGCGCGAGCCACGCTATGGTACGGAAGGCATGCCACCTTTCCCATAGAAAGCTTCATGAAGACGTGGAGGCGCCAGGATCTGGAAGTGAACCTGTCTTTTGAGGAGCGATATACGAGCACGGCAGGTGGGGGTTGCTGAAGAAAGGCTACGAGAGGCCGCTGGTCAGGTGGAGAGAAGTCGCATGGAAGACAAGATGAGGTGGGACCAGATGGCCCGAATAAGGAAGGATCCACTGAGGGTTGGGGATGTGGTGTTGCTGTATGACTCCTCGCTGGAAAAGCAGTGGTCCAGGAAACTCGATAAACGGTGGCTGGGACCCTATAGGATCGTGCGGTGTGGCGAGTTTGGGGCCTACCAAATTGAGGAGCTGGACGGCGCAGGATGACAGGACTGGGTATCAGGGACAAGGCTGAAGAAGTTCGTGGCCAGGGAATAGGTAAGGGGTCATGAGACCTCGTTAGGGATAGAGTCTTGCCTAGGTATTACCCAGGTCGGACGGCTAGATAGGTGGGTGATTGGGATGGATGGGTGTGGAGTGTATGTGGGATTTCCCTAGGTCGATGGCTCGGTTGCTGACCCTGCTGTGTGCATGCTTGTTGTCTCTCGCCTGTGGTGCAGGTCTGACTTTTCGAAGGCAGTCATGCAGAGGGGCGGGAGGGACACACGGCCACGCCAGGGGCCCCAGAGGATGGAGGGAAGGGGCGAGCAGCACGAGCCGCATAGGAGGGAGCCTGCGCCTGAGTTTGATGACGACAACATTGAGCTCTTCTTGGACGTATATCGGGACCATGCAGCACAGAGAGGGTGGTCACTTGAGGGGCATAGGGCGGTTCGTGGAGCCTGTCGCTCAGATATGTGAGGAGACCCTGACTTGGCCGGACGTGGAAGCCAGGATGCAGAGGTTGAGAGTTTCCCCTAGGGGGCGTAATGGCATGCCCATTCGATTGGAGGAGGGGAATGCAGATGAGTTCATCCCCGCATATGAGCACTACATGTTGAGTCTGGGGGTTGCGCAGAGGGAATGGGTGCAGGCCCTATTTATCTGAACGAGGCAGGCAAAGAAGCAGGCGGTCAAGCAGATTCAGGAGAGGGCTCGAGACTGGGAGGACTGTCAGGCCCAACTTAGGAGGGCGTTCGAACGGCCACAACCCGAGAGGCACGAGCCCAAAGTTGAGAGACGGCGGCGAAGCAAGAGGCTAAGGGAACCGACACCGAGAGAGGCGGGGCTGGCCAGAGAGGGGAGGGGAGCCCCGGCCCATCGGAAGGATGAGCCCGCAGGGCCCGCATTGGCAGAGGAGTCGTTCCCTGCTTGTGGCCTCCGAGCGGTTGAGTTTCGGCGGATTACGAGCGAGGAGTTGAGGCCGCCCTCGCCACTGCCATCAACGCAGGAGCTGGACATACCAAGAAAGACGCCATTCCAAAGCTTAGCGACTCATCTCGATGTATCCCAATGGGAGGCCTCACCGTTGGGAGAGGGTTCAGTTGAGCCGGCATGCTACGTGCCATTGGAGGAGCCCCTCGACCCCGAGATGGAGACAGACATGCGAGACCGAGAGGGGCCGCAGGATCCTGAGATAGCAGTCGAGCGGCCGGATCCGGTGCGACCTTAGGGTAGCGAGGTGATCACGGTTGGGGACGATACCCCTCCATGCTCCCCAGCTCCAGAGCCAGCACAGCGTTCATGGCCAGAGGGGATTCCTGGGCCAGGCAGTGAGGAGATCCCGGAGTTTCCCCCTGAGGCCGCCACTATACCTGAGCAGGAGGCAGAGGCGGAGGACCAGGGCTTGTGTGAGAGAGCGAGGATGGAGGCGCCCCTTGACTTGCCCTCGGCCACCCAGGCGACCAAGAGCCCGGACATCGAGGAGCCCGTTTCAGCAGAGTTACCGCCAGTAGTGCCGCGCGCGAGCACAAGGATGGAGGCGGAGGCGTCGACTCCAGGAGACCAAGAACCGCGAATGGGAGGAACCCCAAGAGAGACCCGCGAAGAGAAGTCCGCCCGAATGCGGGTCCGTCTGGACGAGATATACGCAAGACAGACTGATATGGAGGCGGCGGGGATAGAGCCGACACCGCCGGTCGAGCCCAAGACGAGTGAACAAAGGATCGACGAGTTGTGGGCTAGGTATGAGAGCCAGAGGGATGCAGCCCGCCAGAGGTTACGAGAGGCGGGACAGGCGGACGAGGAGATGAGTGAGTTGAGAGAGATGGGGGACTTGGGGTTCTCCACGACCAGGCAGGCGATTGGGCGCATGGATCGGAGGGTATGCGAGACGGCAGTCACAACCTTCCAGTGGTATAATCTACTCAGCAATGAGCTCAGAGTTAAGGAGTTGGAGGTGGAGCACCTGACTACTCAGCTTGCCGAGGAGAGGGTAAGGAGTAGGGCTAGAGAGGTTGAGTGGGAGAGGAGATTTGGGGAGATGGCGGCCGCTGTGGGTAGGCTCTCGGCAGCCTGGGAGGCTAGTCGGATGGGGCGAGCCGGTGCCGATAGCCAGGGCCGAGGGGTGCAGGCTTCGCAGGGTCAAGGAGCATCGGTGGAGGTCCTTCGACAAGCCGAGCCAATGGAGGAGGCGCCCTTGGACGCAGTCGAGGAGGAGAGTGGCGCGCAGGAGTCGCTTATGGCTATGTCCACGGAGAAGAGAGGTTCGCGCTTGCATGAGCTGGCGGCAGCCATGGGGATAGGCACTCCACAGGAGGGGCCTCAGGGACTCAACGCGCATGCCCCGAGGTTGGGGGAGTTGAGGGCGGAGCTGGGCTCCTGGGCCACGGGGACCGACTCAGGAGGGCCTGACTCGCAACGGCAACAGCAGCAGGAGGTCATGAGTGAGCCCGCCGCTATGGGGGGCTCTCAGCCGTCAGGAGTATGTAAGGATGAGGCGATGATGACATAGAGGGCGCATGAAGAGGGACCCGAGAGTTGGATACGCCAGAGCGCGGGCCAGGGAGTGCGCCTGCACGAAGGGGTGGAGGTGTTGAGGCTATGGAGCCCAAACCTCAGGGCCATGTGGGGTTGCCCTCGTGTCACGAGATGACTACTGGGGCCATAGGAGCGCCTTCGGCATCCAGTTCGCAAGGGAAGAAGAAGAAGAGTGCTATGTGGCATGATACCTCCTGTTTTTTGTGCAAGGAGGGAGGACATAGAGTCGTGGGCTGTCCAGAGCTCCTTGAGGATAAGGCCGAGGGGCGAGTTGTGGAGGTCGACGGCAAATTCTATGACAGACAGGGTAGGATAGTGGAGCGAGCTCCAGATGGGGGCAGGGCTCAGTTATATAGGCAGAACCAGGAGGAGCTATGTAAGTAGGGGTGGTCTGCCTATATATTGATAGGACTAGAGATCCTTGGCACACACAGAGCGGGGTTAGGGGTGTACATACCTTGAGTCAGTTGAGTGGGCCCTAGATGTGTGTGTATGTAGGAGTGGTGGGATGAGTTTTTATCCGATTGTACATATGTGTGTGACTTTTGGTCGCCTGTTTCCTCTTGAGTTTCTTCCTAGGCTACGACCCAGGGGTAGGACTTAGTTGTGTGATATATGAGACCATTTGGTTACATTTGGTTTTGTGATTCAGAAGCTATTGCTGCTTTGAATGGGATTTGGGAGTTTCTAGCACTCGGGATGTGAGTTTTCCCAGCAAGGGAGGACAGGGGCTGGCCATTCTGTGGATGTTAGGCGGATGCTATGTTCCCGAGCATATTTGGTGAGTATACAGTGGGGTTATGAATCCTACTCAGACAGGCGGGGCATTGAGTTGAGTGCTTGTATTCGACTGATTGAGGGAGGCATTCTACTCCCTGAGTGTATTATGAGTAAAGATCCTATGGGACTTGTCTTGTGACGACCACTATCACTCTCACATGTGTGGATTTATCCTGATACATGATTGGCTTTGTGTGAGAGGAGTACAGGATACATCTCATGGGCATGATTGTGTAAATGGTAAAGTTGTCTACCCTCTGGTATACTCGTGCGGTCTGCTGCAAGCGGACGAGAGGGCAGAGTATAAGGAGGGGAAGTGCAGCCTGATTGTGAAAAATTGTGAGAATCCTACGGGATTGGTGAATTTAGGAATTTGCATGTTTGGTCGTACTAAACATCGTTGCCCAAATCGTATAGGGACCCAGAAGGTGGCCCCTCAGTTTGAGTTTGTTTGATGATTAAAGACCCCCTTCATGGTTCTGGGAGGTGGGAATTGCATCGTATGGAGGCCCCTTCATGGTTTTGGAAGAGGTCGTGTGAAGAGTCATCTCATACAGAGAAGAGATGGACGTGAAATCTTTCGTGAGAAACGCCCTTCATTGAGTGAGGGTGGGTACAAGTTGAGTGGTAAGGGAAGCATTCTTTGTGTTGATGAAGTCTGACGAGAGGGAACCATGTTTGGTTGAGATGTTTGAAAAGGGCGAGAGATGCCTCAGGATGGGCGACTGCTGGCTCTGATCAAGTCAGGAGCAGCGGCCTTGTGGATCCGGCGGAGAGGTTGTTTGTGGTTGAGCGAAGGATGTCGTGCTTACTACGGTAGAGTCGGTAAATGCCTTTAAGCCCCTGCGTAGTCCCGCAGTGGCCTGTGAAATGTTTGTGATGCCCCGCCTGGCCACCTGTGCTAATTCTGAGACATATTTAAAAGGAATACCAAGTTAACGGTAAAGTTTAGTGCCACTTGGGCGCAACCCCTAGTGGATGGCTGCTAGCCGGCATAACCTGGCTGCGGGCCCGCAAGGTAAGAGTTTAAGGGGAGTTGCCCGCCCCAGGGAAATTACCTCGCGGGATAAGAGACGAGTCATTTGGAGACCCTTATTGATTGATTATCAGGGACATATCTGTCGTTGTATAACCAACGGGAGGATACCGCCGCTAAGGTAACAACGCAGTGGGCCGTAGACCTGGCCCGATCAGCCAGGCTACGGTGGGGCCAGATGGGGACCTGGCATTTTTGTGCTAGACTGCATAAAAGACCGAGAGAGGCTACAAGCCTATACGTGTGTCTTTTGTTTGATAGTGAGGAAATTGTCGGAAGAAGACAAAGAATGCCTTCATAGGTCTCATTCGAAGCCCGCGTCCCTAGTTATGGCTCTGCTTACGAGAAAGAGACTAACTGGGACACCCAACGAGAGGTCGGCGGTTGTCTAGGACGAAAGGGGAAGAGGATGGTTTGAGGGCCTTTGGAACTTATGCTGTAGTATTGATGCATAATACACCGGCATCCTGGTGTCAGGACAATGGAGACCCAGGTTGAAACGCTGGCAGCATATAGTTGTGTTGGCACGGTTTGATGGAGGCCTCAACCCTGAGTCTGTCGGCTAATCGGATTGGTTCTAATCTCGTCAGCACTTGGAATGTGAAGGAATCTATAGCTTTTTGATTTGGCGACGTCCCCGACGCGACGGGGACATCGCTTAATATGGTCCGGTAAGCTGTCGGCACGAATACCCTTACAAGGGTATCCGCCCTGGTTTTTACAAGTGACAGAAAGGCTCGGTTAACCTGGATTCTAAGTGCCCATGCGGGAAATGTGAGGGTCGTCCGCGCGCGAGCAAAGGTCAGCCTTGTCCAAGTAGGGAGTATGTGGGCGCGCAATTTTGAGGCGCGCGTGTGATTTTTTCTGGTTGAGATAGGCGGCCGGTCTAGCCGACCGGCCCGGACCATGTTGCGGGTTTGGTTAGGGGTAAAAGTCTGTTTCTTTTCTTGTTTTTTGTCGGCTCACACGACCGGGGTAGGATTGGCGGACCAATTGGCGTACGGGATGGTCGGGGCATAGGCTGGTAGGCCGGCACGGGCACCTGGGGGCCTTGGGTACAATTGTGGGCCGAAAGGGTGGCCTGGCAACATCCTGGCACGGCACGCAGCGCGACACAACCTCATATGGGAGACCGAGCCCGCTAATACCAGGCTTGGGCTTAGCCCTATTGGTTATAGCGTTGGACTATTGCGACGAAGGTACGGGGATCGAGGCCAGCAAACGACGATGCGGGATCGGCGAAAGGCTTGAGGGGTTGATGGGCCCGTGGGACTATCCCCCTCGCCTTTTATGGTTATGGCGGCCGCTGTTCCCGCCCGACTGCCGCACGTTGCGAAGTTATATATATCTATTTATGTATAACTTGTTTATTCCGAAATTTTGGTACTACTATTTTTTTTACGCCCGAATGGGGGAGCGAAACCGCGATGGGTACACCCATGAGCTATCGAAATATGGCCTAGCGCTTCGACCCAGATGATGGAACTTGGTGGCTAAATCTCAGTATTCCGAATTGCCTGAGGCTGGTTGCCCCGAGGTCCAAAGCGTGTTCTTCGGCACATTCGATGAAATTGGACTGAGACGGGGAGGGTCTGCCGGGCCACCCTGTAGGGCTACGCTGTGTACGAGCTTGCGAAGTGATGTCAGCGAGTCTGGGGGAGGCTGGGAAGAAAGGGGGGGTGGCCCGATCACTTGTTGATATTAAAGTTGTGGCACGTGATGGGCGCACCT